TCTGATACGCCCACCGCGGGTGCTCATGGGAAATGTAGTTTTCCCCGCAGGATTCCAGTTTAAAGAAAATATCAAGTACAGTGTTTCCCATACATTGATTTATTTGTGGCACCTGCCACCATATCAAAACTGACCACCACAAATAGATTTTCCAAAAGGCTTTGACTTCGATGAATAAACATGAGCACTGCACATTTCAAAATGGAACCCGGGTGTTTTTATATCACTGTTTTTCTGAAGGAAAACGACTGTCTTCAGAACATTTTGGATGTCATTTTCATTTAATCTTGCATGTAAATGTCTGATAAAGCAGCGTTACCGGGGAACGCTCGATCTCTACCACTCCAACAGCGCCTCCTGCTGGCAGAGAATGAATTTGCATATAATATATGCCGCCACAAATAGATACTGTGTTTACACCCGAATTAACTTGAATAGCAAAATAAATAACAAAATAACAGCTAATTAATTACAGAACAATGTAAAAATAATATTTAAAGCGGTTTGGTAAGAATTTTATTTGAATTAATTTTATAAATTCATTTAAACTTTCTTTTTAAATTTGGTGGGCTATTTATTCATGTATTATAAGAACTAAACTATTTTAGGAGGTTTCTTTACACAAAATGACCTGTGTGTGTGTGTGATGTGTGTAGTACAGCTTTTCTCTTGTTTGCCCTTCAGTGGTGACAAATGACATTCTTTAGGGCCTCTTTTAGAAATGTCTTTTGTTGAGACTTATGTCAATATTGACGCACTGAATTTAGCATGTGTTCTGTATGATTTGCGCTTAGGCAGGAGATAAAACCTTGTTTAAAGTAAATGCTTGCAGTGTTTTTTCCATATGGAGTGCATTTCCATCGTTTGGCTAGCTCAGGGTTGGAGCTAAACTCTGCAGGACACCGGCCCTCCAGGACCGAGTTTGGGCACCCCAGGGCTAGCTAGAGCAAACAGCATTACTACAGAGAGCTAGACCTGTGTGTTTCATACCGCCCCCGTGTGTCTGAAATTATCTTAAGTCATACTCTACTTTAGACACCAGTTTAAATTCCATTTAGCTTGTTTAACAGTTATTCAAAAAGTATTTTTTTGAACTGTTAACAGTTGAGTTTAATAGCTGAAACTGTTGGGTTCTCCCCCGTGATTGTTTTTGCGTCTTAAGTCTTTATTTCTAAACTCGGATAGAAAGACATGGCTCTCAATTTCCACCTTATTTTGCAACTGGAAATTTCTGTGAATGTGTGAGACTTCTGATTTATTAGCGGCCACATGTAAATGATTAGAAGAATCGTTTAGTAAACGGTAAAACTATTTGCGCTACAAACCAATGTGTGAAATAATATGATAAGAAATACCATTTTGAAATGTCAAACAGCATAAAGAGTTCTTTTGTAGCTACTACTGCTAAAATAATAGGAAGCTAATGACACCGGAAGTTTCGCACATTGAAGTAAGAAACGGCAGCACCCCTTAAAGCTGCAGTCCGTAACTTTTTTTTGGTTAAAAATGATCCAAAATCAATATTTGAGCAAGTACATAACCAGCCAGTGTTCACAACTATCGCCTTACTTTAGCCAGATTCACAATGGTTAGCTTATAATAATGTTTTCTAATTTGAGTGGTACGGGTAGGTTTTCGCGTGAAATTCGAGCATGCTGCTGCATCATTACGTCACGTCTGTAAACAAAGAAATTGTCCCGGCTACTAGGCTATCGCATGTGAGGATCCTGCAGGTGGCGGATCGTTAGCCTTTTCTCACAGCAGCTAGAATAATTAAATGTCAAAAAATCATTTTGATGGCGGATTGTAATCCAGAAAGGATTATATGAAACACATGTGAATGAAATTAAATTCTGATTACAGATAGCCAGGGATTACAAAAGATTAGTATTTTAAAGACAACCAGTTCGAAGGGAGCATAGTTTGCTGTGAAAATTCTTATTTGGGTCATATATTCCAAGATGTAGGCTAGAATCTGTGATTACTAAGTATAGGATTCACACCTGTGCGGTGACTGACTGCCACACACACTCCTCAAAACATTAGATTCATCCGCGCTGGAGCCGTGCCAGAGTACAACCCACGCAAGCTAGATAATTTCGCGAGTAACTGCAATTCCAAGTTTTCAAACAGAGATGACGACAAAGAGGCAAAACTTACGGACTGCAGCTTTAAATAAGGTGGATAAACAGAGCTGAAAGAAAGAGTATAAAAGTGTAACTGCATAATTTCCTTGTGAAATGAAATTTTCCTGGTGTCTTTATGGGTTATCAGATTATAGTTGGATAACACATGCAGGTAAACAGAGTTATAGGGAAACAAATTTAGATAAATTGGAGCAATTTCAGCAATGCCACAGAAGAAACATTTTGATTCTGAAAGAACCTTTCAGTGAATCGTTGTTTAAAGAACCTTTTTTTTTTGTCTGTTTGAAAAACAATTAAATAATCTAAAGATAGAACTTATAAAGAACTTTTTGTCCAATAAAAAGGTTCCATGGGTTTTACGGGTTTTTCATTGTGCCAATAAAGTACCTCATTTTAAAAGGTGTATTGAGGTCATATACATTCAACTTAAGTATCTTTTTGGAATTCAGCATGTTTGTCAGATCGAATGCATTCAAATAGATTATCTGCACATTTTCTTGTGAAGAGGAAACAAATCATGTGAACATTTTCAGGAAACTGCTGCTTCAAGGCAATATTCTGTTTTGACAAACAGCTTTACATTTAAGTGGACAATCAGCAGGAAGGAAAAGAGACAGTTGCTGATGGTGGAAGAGACGATCTGTAGGTTTGCTCCCAGGAACTGCTTTCAGACCACTGTGCCCTTGAAAAAGACACCTCATCTCAACCTGCAAGGTTGCTTTAGATAGATCTGCTAAATGGCACGTAAACGGAGCATTTAATAGCTCCCCTTTGCATTGTTCACCTGTTCAGTGAGCCACAGAGTCATCAAATAAACATGAATATGAGAAATACAGCTGCAGACTGAATCAAGAATGAATGAATATTATTTATTCTTTTTTTTATTTTAACATCGTTTACAGTACATTAACTGCCAGCAATGTACTCGATACTGAGAATAAAGAAAATAAAGACATAAACTGGCTTTTTAAAAAGCATTTTTAAAAATGATTACGTTTTAATCATGACTAAACATCATCTGACTATTTACAATATACAAACTATAGATGTGCTTATAATATAAAGGGTTTACACTTATGTACATTATTTATAAATGCTGCCATGTAAGTAATGAACTCACATAAACTGTTACAAACAGATGACACTTTCATTACATCACAAGGGAAACATCACGCTGACTGGACACAAGTACACAGCTGCTAAAAAGACAATTAAATTCTTCCCCGTTCTGCTACTTTGTGATACCTTGCAGATTTGGAGATCGTGTAACAGTGTGATCTGCAGGTGCTTGAAAAGTGCTGCTGTCAGCCCAGACATCCGCTCAAAAGCTACAAAGCTGTGTATGTGAACGCCTGGGGATGGAAGCACAGCATCATGGGGGATATTGACGTTCAGGGCAGTTTCTGGTGCACCACTGCTAATGCTCTAGTTGCAGCAATCAGACTGTGCTTTTATAAAGGGAACAATATTTAACCATGATTCATCATTGATACTAAAGATTCCTACTGATAGGAAGTTAATAAGATCTTACTGGTTAACGTGAACTACCATCATCATAAAATCATTATTTCATGCAGTGGATACATCAGACAGGAGTCATTTCTCCTTAAAAATACTCACAAACATTATGTTCGGTTTAAAAATAATCACAAACACTATCAAATCAAAATTAAAATCTCTCTCAGTGATTCTCGCCAAACGTCACCCCAAAATCAAATGACAGAAATGATATTTTTAGCCTGTTATGTGTCATATAATTGAATGGATATGTACATCTGGGGCTGATAAGATTTTTTTTTAATATTTTTTAAAGAAGTCTTTTAGTCTCACTAAGACTGCATATCTTTAAAGCTGCAGTCCGTAACTTTTGGCGCTCTAGCGGTTAATAAACAGAACTACGTGCGTCTTGTGGAAGAACATTGTAGCTGGAGCTACTTCTCTGTTTATGTCTATGGCGAATCACGCAGGTACTGGGCTACTCCACAGCGGTACCTACCCGAACCAGTCTAAAATAGTCCGAATATAAACACTTATTATAGGTGTACTGTATGATTCAGGACAAGCCAAAAACACGGTTTGGAAAATGGATGCATGGTGTACTCGCTTATTATATACATTTTGTAAATTTTAAACACAAAAAAAGTTACGGACTGCAGCTTTAATCACAAAAACAGGAAAGAGTTTAAAATAACTTTTCTATTTGAATATATTTTAAAATGCAATTTATGCCCATGATGGCAAAGCTACATTTTCATCAGTCATTCAACGATAATTCTAATATGCTGATTTTGTGCTCTTCGTTAGCATTCTTTGATAGTTCTAAAAGACCAGCATTTATTTGAAATAGAATTTATAAAACATGTCTCAATTGTCACTTTTGGCCAATTTAATGTATCCTAGCTAAATACAAGTATATAAATAATCAAATAGATATTATATATTTATTGTTGTCTGATTTTGGGGTGAAATGCAACTTGGGCATGTTTGCATGAGAACCACTCTTCTACTTTCAAAATCACGTTCAGACTTTGAGCAACCCAGAATCATTTAGAGCCACTGGTATATTTAAGGACGGATACTGGCAATTCTTTAACAACTGGCACATTTAGTTCTCAGGCATGTGGACAGACATCAACACGCACTGCTAAAACGATGGGACACTTTTGTGCTTGAGAAACCACATTGGTGTGTGAGGCATTACACCACTACAAATAACATCTCACCATCACCAGAACACACAACTAAACGCTTCTTTACCAAAAAATGAACACTGGGTTATTTCAGTGATGCACTTCAGTTTTTTTTCTTTTTTTTTTTAACAAGGAAGTACAGATTGTAATTTGGAATATATTACAGTGCCTTTTTACTGTCTGACAGGCCCTCGATGCAGCACCAGGGACATGTAAAACACTGAAAAAAGATATCGAGATATGTAATTATGCAAATACTGGTTCACCGATATGATGATTTAGTTATATGTGTGGCTGGTCTATCCATTAAACATGAATTAAACAGACAAAAATGAATAAAAAAGTACCACAATTTAAATGCACATCTCATTTAGACATCTTATAGTCCATTACAGTACATTCACTTACTGAAGTATTCTTTCTCCAAAGCGAGAAGAGGAGAGAACACACATTCACACACTAAAACACCACAGTGTTACCACTAAGATCATTATGGGCCAGTAAGTGCTTGATTTATAGTTTTTTAGGATGACAAGTTTCAATTACAAAGTTTAAAATATTCATGTACCATGTTAGACATCCACACATTACTTTTTTTTTTTCTTCAAACAATTTACAGTTAGTAGTACATAGGCTTTTATTCATATGTCTGTCTACAAAATATATTAATCTATGATTATGTCATAAGTCGTAACTGGGTCAAGAGACGGAGCGGAAGTTGTGCTTCAACTGAAAGTGCTACAGTTTCAATATTCGCCAAATGACCAAAATCATCCGCCTACTTGGGTTAATAGCCTCTTTTTTAAGCCTATCTAGAAGCAAAACCGATCAGCTTCCATCGGGCAATGTTACCACATGTACACCATTTTGCCCTGTAGCTAAAACATTTATGTGCATCAATGCAGCACATTTGTTTCTCCAGTTAAGGAGAAGACCCTGTGAATCTGTGTTTTTGGTTTTCTCTGCATATAAATCCAGAGAGTGTTTCAAAATCAGTCTGTCAGCAGAAGTCATGGGATCATTACAAACTGACCCTATGATTAACTGTGCTTTCCAATCTGTGCTTTCCCATTGCAACCAGTAGTGTTCCTAAAAAAAGAAGAATGTGCCTTTCATCTTGAATAATTCTGTCTTTTTAAATCTAAATATTCTAAATATGGCATTTTAGCTGAATAGTCACAAATATTGTAAAGGGATGTGATAGACAACCTTGATTACACCGGATGAATCGGAATACTCATATATATATATATATCATATATATTCATGCTCACATATATCTACTAATATATTATCTCTAAATACCGTAGAAAGGATAAACGTTATAAATCCATATAAAAATGTGACAGGTACATCTATAAATAGTTTGCATAAATTTGAAATTGTGTAATAGACTGCGGCCAAATCAAGCCTGGATTCTGGACGAGGTCGTGTGTCGCCTCTCAACAGCCTTCAGTGTCGTATCTCACAGCTATTGCACAGAGTATTGCTATATCTAAAATGAGATATGATGAAATAAACGCTTTAATAGCCACCAATCCTCCCATAAGAACTGAGCACTTACTGTGATTCTAATCTCGTGAATGTGGCCGAAGGGCAGAGGTCAAAGGTCATAATATGAAGGGATGGATGGGAGGTTGGGCCAGCGGATGAGTCTGTTTGGTTAGAATGCAAAATCCCTTTTGTTTGCAAACCCTGCATACTGCATGTGCTGATGCTATGGCACAATCTAACTATCATGGGCTTTGATTTTCTCGTTCTGGTTATCTTCTCCCTATTTCCATGTCCCAACCACTCCTTTTTGGGAGCGGATGGTCTTTAATGGATTTAATGCCGGCCTGAGATGGGGCAAGACCCCATTTACAGCATATGCAGGTCACATGGCTAAATAATGCATTGAATGCAACTAAAGCTAGGAATCTGGTACTACTCTTGTGACTGATCACTGAGAGATTATGCATCCTCCCCAACTACTGACCCGAAAGTAATATTAAAAAGCATAAACCATTAGAGATTAGAGGGTGAGGCCTAATGACCACTGCTTCCTTTGCTGGTCCCTGATGTCCAATCAATGATGATGAAGCTCAGGCTCATTATCATAAATAGGACTCCTAATAAAGCGAAGCAAGCAGCCTATAAAAGAAGGAGAGGCAAGATTATTAACAATGTTGCCAAAGTGATTAATGAAACATGTAATCTAAAAAAATATGATTGGGTGCACATTATCAAGGGTCAAAATGAAATAAAATGAAATTTGCAAACAAAATGAGGCCAATTTTCAGAACATTGCGTTTTTTTGTTTGTTTGTTTGTTTGCATTGTGCCATTCTCATGTGCATGATTTTAAAATGAAGCACATTTAAACACATTTTGTATTAAAATTAAACATTTGAGCACATGAAATACGTAATGAAATATTTATTAAAAATGATCGGGTGCATATTATGAAGAAAAGTCTGGGTCAAAATGAAATTACATTAAATTTGCAAACAAAATAAAGACACTTTTCAGCACATTAAGGGTTTTTTCAGCACATAGGTTTTTTTTTTCTTTCTTGTATTGTGCCATTTTCAAGTGCATGACTTTTAAGCATGTTTTGTATTAAAATTAAGCACATTTGAGCACATGAAATATGAAATACATAATGAAATATGTATTCTAAAAATATGATTGGGTGCATATTATGAAGAAATGTCTGGGTAAAAAATGAAATAAAATGTGCAACCAAAATGAAGCCAATTTTCAGAACATTAAGATGTATTTGTTTATTTATTGCATTGTGACATTTTCATGTGAATGACTATTATTTTAAATTAAATATTTTATATTTGCATACTTTACAAATGTGTTTTTAACGCCATTGTAATAATAAAAAAATACATTACAATAATAAGGGATGGAGAAAATATGCTTAATTGCCATGTCAACAATCCCACAATGAAAAAAAAAAGTCTCTAAAATGACAAATAATATAAAAAATTTTTTTTGTTTTTTTTATCTAAGAGTTAATTATATCCTGGACATGTTTTGAAAGTTTCATGAGATTCACATATACTACAATTATATGTTCAGGTTTCGCCCAAGATTCCTGCAGTTTGCTGTAACTTAAGGGGAATTAGTTTACTAGTTTACAATAGTTTTGGGTCACACCAAAGATTTACCCAAGGGATTTCCGAAGCTCTTAGCATGATTCGTTTTCAGAGGATCTCAATCTAACAGTGTGAAAGTTTTCAAAGCATCTACATTCCTACAAGAGGTAAGAAACTAGATCCCACTGTGGATGAATGGGAAGGAATCGAATACAGCATGTCCAAGTACTTACGAGGATTTTCGGCGCTGAGCGCAAGGGTTCCTCTTCCTTGGGAACAATGCGGATATAAAACACAGCTGGAAATATAAAGATGAGGCACGGCGCGGACGTGGCACCTACGGAACAATAAACACATGTACACATGTAATGTAAACCTAAACCTTCATACTTCACTAACATCATGCCTCAAGCCTAAGTCTTAACTGAGTCAGAAAATCTTGAGCTAAAGCTATTTAAGTTACATAAGCCATTGAGAGATTTCTCATGGCGGTCAGGCACTTGCAGAACAAAAGTGTTTATTCTTCTCTGAGGTAGGTAAAACTCACAATTAGTGTTGTCGAGTTAAGTGTGAGACCAGGAGAAACTATAATGTAATAAAAAGGACTTTGCTGATAATTATATACACATTCCAAAGGCGATTAATAATGTTGTTGGCATTGGATTTATGCACGGCTGGAACTGTTCGTACAGTATTATAGTCTGAGACTTTAATGCATGTGGAGATAAAAGTGACTGTGAGGTCCTTGAGGTTGACATGGTGAAACCTAAGGACACTGTATACTTCTCTCACACTCTTTTCACACCAATGAAACCTCAAAAGAGAGAAGAAGAGAATGAGTGCTACAAAGAGACTAGAATAACATCATTTAAAGAGCCGAGAGCACCAAACCCACCGATGACCCCGAAGATGCCCAGGATGTTCGGGGCAAAGATGACCAGTAAGTTGATGAGGGTGAGGAGGGTGACAGCTATGGCAATGTGACGTGGCCACCAGAAGGTTTTATTTGGGAAGAACAGCTGCTGAATCGCTCTCCTTACCTGAGAAAAGACATCAAAAGGCAAAGCTTTGAAATCAGATACTGAAATACTGCCTGTCATCTGATCCTGACTCCCCTAACAAAGTTGTAACCTGGTAAGATGTAGTTTATTTAAAATTGTAAAGGTTTAAAATGTGTGTGTGAGTGTGCAAAACTCACAGGAAACAGCACGATGGGTACAGTGAGTGTGACGGCAGTCAGCACAGCCACACGAACGCACAGGATGAGCGTGTCATACGGGTCGATTCGACTGTAGGTGTGCAACAGCTCAGCTTCCACCTTATCTACACACAAATATATTCATTTAAATGTAATATCAAGTTCAATTTCATTTTAAAGGTAAAATTTAAAAAATGAAAAAAAAAAAATGAAAAAAAAAAAAAACTTTAAAAAATGTAAAGTTCTCAAACTTTTTTAAAGTGGTGGACCATTTAAAAAAAAAAAAAAAGATTTTTTTTTTTTTTTTAATTGTGGAGCACCTAACAACCCAAATCTGGGGGAAACCAGAAAATACTCTCATTTTAAAAAATCTTTTAATATTTAATATTTTAATTTTAATAAATCTTTTAATTTGCTGAAATTAAATAGACTAGCTAAGAAGCTGGACCAAATTGAATCAATTTCTAAACTGACACAACAGAAAGATTTGAACACAAATCAATGTTAACACAATGAGTTAATTCATTCAAATGTGTTGATAAATCAGCTGAATCATTCAATGTAGGGAATTTTTGGTCACTTACTGTATACCTATTTTATATATATATTTTGCAAAAGACAGGGGTTAGTAAGATTTTTTAAATCATGAATCTTAAAAGATTTGATAAAATATTAAATACATTAATTAAATATTAAACAGCACAGCTGTTTTTAACATTGATAATAATAAGAAATGTTCCAAATTTTTCAAATCAGCATATTAGAATGATTTCTTAAGGATCATGTGACACAGAAGACTGGAGTAATGATGCTGAAAATTCAGCTTTGCCATCACAGGGAAAAAAAATATTTTAAAATATATTAAAATAGAAAATGGTTATTGTAAATTGTAATTATGCTTTTTTTTTTAATTATTTTTTTAAATATTAAGACCAAATAATAAATATTTCAAGGGTAGTGTATGTAAATCAATTAACTGAGCAACTGATTTTTCAGTGACCACAGTTTGAGATCTACTGCATCAGATTACTCTTATTCCACACACAGTAATGTTTTTTTATTCATGCACAACGTCCACTAGATGGAGTGCTAGTACTACTTCAACGTGACCTTGCGCCTATAACAGTGATTTGTTGTAGCATGATTAGATCGGTGACATCAGCAAACACATGCTGACAGCTGAGCGGGTCTCAATCTGTTCCTATGCTTCAAAAGCTCTGAAACATGAGAGTGAATATTGAAATCTTGTATCTAAAACAAGAGAAGGAAAAAAAACTATTTTCTGCCTCTTTACCGCTGCAGTCACACTGATCTCAGCTGGCCTCTGACATCTCAACTTGAGTGACCACTCAGTACATTCATCCTGACAGGTCTCACCTCCTCTTTCTCCTCAACAAAACCTCCTCCACTCTCTCCTGAGTCACACTGCTGTCTCCTCCTGATGTGTAAAAAGGCAAGGAGTTGTCCTGGACGACCAAAATGTCCTTCAGCAATTGTGGCAACTACCATTCCCTGCTGCTTCTTGCTCTGTAACATACAGCATTTCTGTCTTGCCCTAGACTTTGGTTCATTCTGCATTAGCCATCCAAACTAGTCCAAAATCAGACTCTGAATGTTATTTTTGGCCTACAATGTAGTCAAGAGCCTGACCAAAATGAAACCTGAAACGTTTGAAGACTTGGAAACAGTTGTATGCATTTTTAGATAATCTATCTGGGTTAAAATAGTGTTCCCTTCCTATCTGCTACATCTAAGTATTTTTCAACACAATTACTCATCCTGTACACTTTCTTACGGATTCTATAGTTTAAGCCTTAGCAAGCCAACTCAAGACATATAATGACACCTCCCATGCACATTTACTGTTGCCTGATAAAATTTCATAAGCGAAATTCAGTCATTGTCTGTTAAATTTCGCCAAGCAATGGTAAGTTTGACCACACCTTAATATGTCAATATTACAAATGCCACTACAATCCGACTAATATTTTTATTGTCACTTACTCCTGTCATCATGGTACTTATGTTCTATCTTTGTTGAGAAAATTGTCACTGTATGCGTGAAGAAAGAATGCAAATATAGTAAAGGGAGTGATGGTAATAGGCCTCACCAATGAAGGTCAGATACCCGAACAGAGCAGCCAAGAGGTACATGATGTACATGACTCCAATGGAGATGTTGGAGACGTGTTGCATCTTCGTCTTTGTAGGGCTGAAATCAGTGAATATAAGGATGGGACAATAAAATAGTGATAGACAAGTGCACACTCAAACACAAAATCAGTCAGTTTAACACACTCCAGTCTCATCTAACAATCTCTGATATAGTCATAAGGCAGAAATATTTATACTAATTGCCCATTTTGGCATTTTAAAGTCTGTTTATAAGAGAATGTTGAACAATTTTATGTACTTAAAGGAATATTCCACATTTTGTGGTGTAATGTTGATTACCAGAAAAAATTAATTTCAGCTTGTTGCTCGTTTCTTCTTGTATAAAAGCAAAAATGAAGGTTGCGGTGTAAAGTTCTTAGGGTGTGCAAAATTGTAAATACACTACTGTTCAAAAGTTTGGAGTCTATACGGCTTTTAATGTTGTTGAAAGAAGTCAGTTATGCTCACCGAGGCTGATTTATTTGATCAAAATACAGTAAAAACTATAATATTGTGAAATATTACAATTTAAAATAACGGTTTATGGTTTTAATATATTTTAAAATGTAATTTATTCCTGTGATGCAAAGCTGAATTTTCAGCATCATCACTCCAATATTGACTGTCCCGTGATCAAATATTGATTACTGATTTGCTGCACAAGAAACTTTTTTATTATTATTATTAATGTTGAAAACAGTTGTGCTGCATAATATTTTTGTTAAAAGAGTGATACAAGTCCCTAAAAGTCTTTACCGTCACTTTTGATCAATTTAATTAACCCTTGCTGAAAGTATTCATTAAAAAAAAAAAATCTTACTGACCCCAACCTTTTGAACAATAGTTTAACTTTAAACAGAAATGGTAAGAAAGTTTTTGTTTTTTTACACAAAAACCAAGCTAACATGCATATTGCTTAAGTTCTGTGGCTGTATTTTTAAAAGTCAGTATTTTAATGTTTACAGATCGGCCCCCATTTACTTTCATTGTAAGAGCCTCACTGTAATCCAGATTTGCTATTTTAAAAGAAAATTATAAAAAGAGCATGCCACAGGTACTGTTGGTTGGGCTTAACTTGTATTGAAGCCGTAATATTCCTTGAATGCCTGTGAGCAAATAAGCTACTTCCAGAATGGTTAAACTACAGCTCTCTGGACAGTGAAGCAGATGGGTAGCCACACACAGTGTAATAGCATCCATATGCACAACGTGACTCATGTGTGATTCTAGACCTGCGAAAGAACTTGCCACCTACTTGCGCAGCTCAGTGTAAATTGGCAGCACCTCAGGGTGGCACACGAACGCGAACGCCAAGATGGGAACCGCGTAGGCCGTCTAAAAGCACACAGACCAGACCACGTCACGATGGATACAACAGCGGCAACCATAAACCCCAAACCTCACACTTTAAAGCCCATTAAACACTGTAGCACATTACAGAGAGCTAAATGTAGCTGTGATTAAGTCAGACTTGGACAGAGCTCAGGCCTGGGCTCATTTAAAATGCCAGTCCTGTGCACATAGAGACGGACTGAGCTGACTACAGACTTTCACACTTATCTCTCTGACAGTAAAGGACATATGTGGGGAAAAATGCACATGGCCATGTGTGAGTTGACACTTATGTATGTGCAGAGGATGTGATTATGCTAGAGACATGAATAATAATGGAATATAGGCTATAGACCGCAATAAATATTAATGTGTTTGGGTAACCCATCTTAAAAAGCTTGTACTGACTTAAAGGGATAGTTCACCCAGAAATGAAAATGTGATGTTTATCTGCTTACCCCCAGGGCATCCAAGATGTAGGTGACTTTGTTTCTTCAGTAGAACACAAACTGAGATTTTTAACTCCAACCGTTGCAGTCTATCAGTCGTATAATGCATGGCAATGGTAACAAAATCTATGAGAGTAAAAAAACATGCACAGACAAATCCAAATTAAACCCTGCGGCTCGTGACGACACATTGATGTCCTAAGACACGAAACGATCGGTTTGTGCCAGAAACCGAACAGTATTTATATCATTTTTTACCTCTAATACACCACTATGTCCAACTGTCTTTG